TAATGCTAGTGGTAGTGGTAGTGGTAATGGTGGTGGCAATCGCCGCGGACGGTGGTCCGGCCACACACGCCAAGGGGAATGCAGAAGTGCCTCTCCCGCCGCGCAAAGGAAATCCGCCGAGGTGACCCCCACCCCCGCGATTGGCACCCTCCCCTGCGAGCATGGAGTAGAACTAGACGAGCGCGTTCCACTTTTCGCAAAGTAGCTACTCGCAAATGGCCTGGATCCACCGCGGGGAATCTACGAGAAATGACATCGAAACGTGCATGTGTTTTTTTTCTGACGTTTGCGAGCAGGCAGTTTGCGAGTAGTGGAACACGCTCCGTGAAGAACACCCAGACCGCGGAGGCGGGGGCCACTTGAGGGATTTCCACCGTGCCTGGGGGGGGTGTCTGCCATCCGCGTCGGAAGCTCGGCGGCGGCTGGCGCGGTTTACCCCCCGGCGCTGACGTCCGCGCCCCGCCCCTCATCTGGCGGTGTAGGCACGCGACCGAAGGTCGCACCTGCGCGGCGTTCCTAAGAGAGCTTGGAGGTCCAAGTGCAAAGACGGAGGTGGGCAACCGCAACACACCGTTGGGCAGCGTGCGCACGGCCCTGCTCCGGTGTGCCTAAAAAAAACGCGATTGCCTGCCCAGTGCGCAGCGCCGTCGACTGCCTGCCTCCGCAGCCGCGGCCCCTGCCGGGACGGCCATCGGTGAGGCCCTGCCCGCTCCGCCCCGATAGAACCTCAAATCGGGCGTGTCCCCCTACAGGGGGATTGTCGACGAAAAATAAAAATATTCGAACAATGCTTCAAAGTGGTTTCCAACAAAAAACTCAAAAAATGATCCCCAGACATTATTTAACTATTTTTGAATTTTCCCCCTGTAGAGGGACAGGCCCGACTTAAATATAATCCAACCCTGCCCTCTCCGCCGCCGGAGTTTGGGCGAAGCGAGGGTGGCGAGATGAAGCGGGGGCGGCAGGGCTCGAGATGGAAGCCGGGAGGTAGGGGAGGTTGGAGGTTGGTGATGGCATCTTCACGTCGGCTGCGGCAGCGTAACTCGTGGGCGAGAATTTCCCCGATGGACCCGCGGCCAGCGCAGGTCCATCTGTCGCAGTCGACGCGTGCCGAGACCTTGTCTTTGTGACGCGTCGGGAAATCTAGAGCAGCGTCGCGGGTAAGAATGCCGCTCGGGGACCCACTGCGTAGAATATAGCTTTTCCTGACGCAGTCGACGTCCGTTGGGCCCGTCGGAGCCCCATACTGCTGCCGTCGGATATTGGGTCTGCAGACGGGGCTGCCAGCTGCGCTGCTGCCGATCGCATCGGTGAGCGCGCACTGTTTGCCGAGAGATAGTGCCGAGGCGGGCGTCGGCAGAGGGTAGCAGCTGGCGCATGGCAACCTGTCTGTCGGAGAGCAAAGTCGGCACGTCTGAATCGTCGTGCATCTTGTAGGTCAGCATCGATGCTGGCTGGCGGGTACCGAACTGGGCGAAGAGAATGCGCCAGTCGGTCGCGTGGATGACCCGCGCCTCGCATTGCCCCTCGTGCGGGAGGCCGCAATTCAGATATGCCTCGGCGTAGTACATGATCTGGTCATATTCGAGGCGGGCGTTGGAGACTGCCCCGACATCCAGATCGAAGTGGTTGCTCATGCTGCTCATTTTCTCGAAGTAGTCTGGAATCAACTTGCGCGTCTGCATCTTAAAGTCCCTGTTTTCGCCGGCTGCTTTGGCCAGGTTGGTGTCTTAGTGCTGATGCTGTTTGTCAGGACCCTGTAGGTGGTGGGGCCATCTCGAACACCGTGCCTAATTCATGGATGCTGTCGGCGCTGGCATTTGCCGCCAATTGCGTGGTCGAGGGCGTCGTCGCTGTGCCGGTAGTGGCCGGCGTTGTTGTCTGCGCCCCCCCATGCTTCTTGGCGGAGTCGTTGGTGGTTTGGCTTCGGTTGTACCTCTTGTTGTTGGTTGTGGTCGCGTGTCTCGTTCTGCCAGTCAGTTGCATGGCCTCCTCCTCCGCCCGCTCTGCGCAACTGGTTCGAGCGCAGTTGAGACGTCGGGGGAGGTGCCTTGTAGATTGGCCCTCGAGCTGGCACCGGTGAATCGATGCTGCCCCTTGGCGTTGGCGGAGGTACTATCCGCCTAGGTGCCCACGGATCTTCGCGCGTTCGTGGAGCTGTCGTGCGGCTGCTGCTTGATCACCCTTGCTGACCGCGCCCGATCGCCTGCCGCGGTCGGTAGCGCGTCATTTGTACAGCGCGATCGGTTAGACGGAGCGTTGGACGCTGATGTAGCTGGGCGGCCTGGACCTCGCCTGTGGCCCATAGGCCCCTCTCCTGCGTGACCAGCTTGTCGTTCTGGTTGTTTGGAAGAAGTGTCACTTGGCGCCATTCTTGCCACGTGGTCGTTGTCGAGGAAGCCGAGCGCGAACTCTCAAATGACCGCGTCGCCCCTGAAGTCGAGTGCGCTCCGGGGCCTCTCGGCGGTGGTTTCGAGGGCCGATCTGTTTGCATCGCATGATCGCGACAGCGGCGACACAAATCTCGATCTCGGCCTATGTAGAGGTGGAGGCGCTGGCGTTGCGGATTTTGCCCGCGGTTCCACGCGGCGATGGGTGGGCACTTCGCGTCGTGCCCTGCCCCTTGCCGTCGCAGAGACACTCGCGGTCCTCGGGCGACAAGGCTCGCCTCCATCCCATGGTTAGTAGCGCGTTGCCTGGATCGTCCCACGTCGCCTCCTTGGTGCCCAAGTTGAAGTTGTATACCTGGGTGTGCCACATGTCCTGCTCGCATAAGTGAATGCGGGCAACCCATGGACGAGGCAGAGGCTGTCGGTGATTCGGTGATGTGGGTAGCTCGATGGGGCAGTTTGGCTCCGTGCGGGGCTTGTGCCAGCGAGTGCTTGCCCCGCGCGATGTAGTCTTGCGGGTAAGAAGGCGGCGGTGGGCAAGTCGGACGTGGGGGAGTGTCTGCGTTGGGTGTCGGGCGCGCGTGGCTTGCCGCCATCGCCCTGTTCGTCGATTTCGTCTGGAAGGTAACGCGCCGGCATGGTCTGCGTCGGCCTCGCTTGAAAAGCTGCTCGTGGAGCGGGATCGGCATGGCGTCGCTGGTCGGCGCCCGCTGCGTGGAGCATTTCATCTGAAGCTCTTCTTGGCACTCCTCCTTAAGGTTGTCGAGATATGAGGCGTCCACGCTGGCCAGCTGCTTGCGCGCCCCAGCTCGTAAGTTGGGGCTGGGGGAGGCAGAGGTCACCAATGTCATCCATGGTTGCCCTGGAAATGCTGTATGCCAAGATGGATGCTGGCAGCTTCCATGGTGGTGGGTCTCGTCGAGGCGGGCGGGCGACGGCAGTGGCCTCGGTGGCGTCGAGCATGTTGCTGGGAACGGTTTGACTATCGATGTTGTTCTCGTAAGAGACGTCCGCAAGTTGGTGAATGTGCGCCCCAACTATCGCCGGCCATTTTGGGTTCCCTTTGGATGGTGGTCCCAGCCGCAGCCCGCACCTCTCGCTCATCTCGTCGAAATGGTTGATCGGGGCTCTGCACATGGCGCTGTGGTTCCTCAGGATCGATACTTCCTCGCCAGTAGCTTCTACCAGCGGCGCGAGGTCTCCGTTGGGGCCCCTCTCAACGACGTAGAGTTCGGCTCGCGCCTGTGAAGTCATATGCGAACTGTTCTTCTCGAAGATCATATTGTCGCCTCCTGGGTGCAATGCCGTTGGTCGCATGGTTGCCCATGTGACGGCCAGGCATGGGAAAAAGGGGCGTAGCTTCGCTTGGGTGCAGGACGTTGTTGTTCTGGTCGGTAACGTGAAGCAGGAAGGAACAGTTGTACGCCTTCGAATGGATGGCCTTCCTTTCTGCGTCTAGTACGTCTGCTCGTTTCTGTACCTGCGCCGTCATGATTTTATGAATCTGCTCAACGTTGGACATTTCTGTGCCGCGTGGACCTGTCAGTGGAGGCACGGGGCAGATCAGGTTCTTCTCGGCCGTTGGAATTCTCCCATTGTAGGTCAACGATGGGTGCTCGTCGGACCTTGCCGTGGGTCGAAGCGTCTTTGTTGGGCCTGCCCCAGATTGCGTTTTCCTATAGTGTGGTATGCGCGTCGGTCTTGCTGAATGGTGTTGGTGCATAGTGTCAGCTTTGGGGTCTGTGCGGTTCTTGCCGAAGCAATTCATTCTTGCGTCGTCGAAGTTTTCGGCGATGTTTTTTTTCCTTTGGTGGCTGCTCGCTGCCAGGTATGCCGGTGCGTAGTGGTGTTGGTATGCGTCTTCATCCGTCCTCTCGGAGAGTCGGTCGGGCTGAACATTTGACCGATGTCAAGTGCCGCGTCGGTATGCTCATTAGACCGTGCTTCAGAATGTTGCCTTCCTTGTGCTCGATCCGGCGCTCGAGCTGCAACTACTGCAGGGTATGGATCGCGTCGTCTGTCGTCCGGAAGGATGTAGTCGATGAGCTCCATGCCAGGTCGAAATTTTTTAACCGTCAAGTAACCTCGGCTGGTAATGCTGATGAAGCCCTGTCCCCCGCTTGGTTCGACGTCACGTCTCCCATGCCGTTGTAGTTGTTGTGCGCCTTCTGCGCTTTTGGAAGTCTACTCTGTGTATCCCTGGGTGATCCTGATGTAGGACCCCCTGCGGAAATTACCCAAGGTAGTGGCAAGCTGTCGGCCCCAGTTGAGGTCGACAGCTGGCTCCATGGCGGGTTCGTCCATAGCGGAGTGGGTGGCACAAGCTTGGTACTGATGAGGTCCCTATCCTTGAGCCACAAGCTGCAAGTATGGGTAGGGTATGGGAAGGTTAAATGCTGCTGAGTGTTCATATGATATATGGTGCCTTTTTGCTCTGCATGGTCGTTTCTGTCTGTCACTGGTCGTTCCTGCTCCTCCTCTTCCTCCTCCTCTTGCTCCTCCTCCTCCTCCTCCTCCTCCTCCTCCTCCTCCTCCTCCTTGACGACGTCGACGACGACGGCGGCGGCGGCGACGACGCCTCCGGCGAGGGCCCCGCCCAGCGGCGGGCTCCTCCCACGGGTGCGGCAGGCCATTCGCTGGCGGCTTCGGGGGCGGCTTCGGCGCCGCGGGCGCCGCCGCCCCCGTGCGGCCCGCCGGGGTTCGCGACCTGTCGGCGGCGCTGGCAGCCGCCTGGCCTTGCCAATGGATGACCGGAGGGCCGGGGGGGAGGATCGGAGGAGGACCGAGGAGGGCCGACGACCAGAGGAGCGCGATCGGAGGACCGGGGGACGGCCAAGGAGGGCCAGAGGACCGAGGAGGATCGCGACGGAAGGAGGACCGCGAGGAGGGGCGAGGAGCGCGCGGAGGATCGCGAGGAGGACCCAGGCGGACGCCGGAGGACCGAGGCGCATCGAGGGCCGCCGAGGAGGATCGCGAGGAGGGTCGCAACAAGGGTCGCGAGGAGGATCGCGAGGAGGATCGCGGGGAGGATCGCGGGGCCCATGAAGGAGGCGATCGACGACGACGAGGACAACGACGACGAGTGCGGAGAGCGACGGCGATGGGGGAACTGAAACGAGGGATTCGAGGAGGCTTGAGGTCAGAGAAGGGAGGGACGCACGGCGGGCGGCCTCCCTCGAAAGGCAACCCGTGGGGTTCATCCGGGGCGTGCCCTGGCCCGGGAGGCCGAGGCAGACCCCGCCGCGGCGAAGGGCCGCCTCCGAAAACCGCTCACGAGTCGACGGACGACGACGACGAGCGGGCGATGACGAAGGAACAGACGAAGACGACGACAACGACGGACGGACGACGACGGACGAACACGGCCGACGACGACTACGACGGCCGACGAGGACGGCCGACGAGGACGGACGGACGTCGACGGAAGAAGATGACCGCCGACGGCGACGGACAACGACGGGCGACACGGCAATCGACGGACGACGAATACTCCGGATCCCTTAATAATCGTCCCCCGGGTCCGGTTTATTAAGGCGCCTTTTGGGGAAGCAGGGGGGTCCGGTTTATTACGGCGTTTCTTGAAGCCGACATTCAGGGGGGGTCCGGTTTATTAGGGCGCCTTTTGGGTACTAGCCCGCGGAGTACTAACCATCATCATCATCAGCATCATCATCATCATCATCGTCGTCATCGTCATCGTCATCGTCATCATCATGTTCATCATCACCAACATCATCATCAGCATCATCATCATTCTCATCATCATCATCAACAACAACATTTTCAACATCATCGTCATCATCCTGATCATCGTCGTTATCACCATCACGATATGATGCGGCGGTGGCAATGATGGTACTTCTGATGGCGATGACGACTATCGTTGTCGTTGTCGTCGTCGTCGTTGTCGTTGTCGTTGTCGTCGTCGTCGTCGTCGTCGTCGTCGTAGTCGTAGTCGTAGTTCTCGTATCGTCGTCGTCGTCGTCGTCGCGCTCGCAATTTTGCTGGGGGGGGTCCGGAATATTAAGGCGCCCTCTGCGGGAGGGGGTCTGGAAAATTATGTCGCGAAGGAAGGGGGGGTCCGGTTTTTTAGGGGGGGGTCGATTATTAAGGGATCCAGAGTACGACGAACGACCACGACGCCGAAGACGACCGACGACGACAACCGACGACGACGACAACCGATGACGACGGACGACCGACGACGACAACGACGACGACGACAACTGACGGACGACGGAGGACCCGCGGCGGCTGGCCGCTGCCACACCCTTCCTGCGGCGGGCCGCACCGCGGCGGCCGCGGCGGGATGGGTGGCCTGGGCGCCGGGCTCTCCGCGGGCCGCCGCTGCTCTCTCAGGCAGCGGCTACACCAGCTCTTCCTGCTCATCAAGCCCTCCTCCTCCTCCTCCTCCTCCTTCTCCTCCTTCCTCGTCTTCCTCCTCCTTCCTCGTCTTCCTCCTCCCTCGTCTTCCTCCCTCCTCCTCCTCCTCCTCCCACTGCTGCCTCGTCGTCCTTTTCCTACTCCTGCTGATCCTTTCCCCTCCCCCGGGTACGTACCATTCCTCCTCCTCCTCCTCCTCCTCCTCCTCTTCCATCTCCCCATCCTGGCTCACTCCTCCTCCCTCCTCCTCCTTCCTCCTCCTCCTCCTCCTCCTTCCTCCTCCCTGCTCCTCCTGCTGCTGCTGCCTCCTGTTCTGTTCTGTAGGAACCTTGGTGCCGACACTCTGGGCACGGAGCGGGCAGATATGCATGCGCAACAAGTCCCCAGAATTGCTGGAAGTCCGACCGCGGGCAATGGGCCAAAGCGTGCCCTGCCCTAGAGCGCCGTGCACTCCTCCTTCTCCGCCTTCCCCTCCTCTCCTCTTTCTCCTCCCTCCCGCCTCTTCCTGCTCCTCCTCCTACTCTTGCTCTTCCTCCTGCTCCTCCTCCTGCTTCTCCTCCTTCTCCTCCTCCTCCCTCCTCCTCGTCCCTGCTCCCCCCATTCTGGTCCTGCTCGATCCTGCTCCTGCTTCTCCTCCTGCTGCTTCTCCTCATCCTCATCCTCCTTCCTCCCTCCTTTCCTCTCTCCCTCCCATCCCATCAGCTGGCAAGCAGGCGACTCTCACGCACAGGCACGGAGACGCGCAGAAGGATTTCGGATGATAGGCACCAGCCACACATCCTTTTCCTCCCTCAGCGCAGGGCCTGGCATTTCCGGTGAAGAGTACTTGCTTAGCGTGTCGAGGCGGCGGCCGCAACTTGCGACTTGCAAACTGATAGTGCCGCTCTGCTGACGTGTGGGAAGTGTGGCGACGACGACGGTGACTGGCGGAGATGACGACGACAAACTTTGTCCAAATGTCTCTGGGGGCCTCCCGTCAGAGGCCAGAATCGGGCGTTGGCAGAACTGGGTTTAGTGGAACCTGGTTTAGTGATTTCTACTGGGGGAGGCCCCTCCCCGCCCCGTTCCACTAGCCGGAACTGCCGTCACCCGAAAAACACCATCTACGGCAGACCTGCTTTTGTGATTCTGGTCAATTTAGGGGCTCCGGGGACCTACTATTAACCGGGTCCCCTTACCTGGGGTCCTGGCTATACCCGACAGAAGAGGGCCAACGGCATCGATCCTCAAGCATCGACCCTCGAACCTCTAGCGACGAACCTGCCTCACAAACTGGCCCCTGGACGCGCCTGGCAGCGCGCCCCAGCGAAGATGCCGAGGCGGGTGCAGCCGTGACGGCGGCGGACGGCGACGGTCCCGGGGCCCGATGAGAGGCCCCAGTGGACGAAACGTGAGAAAAACGAGGGCCGGCGCCAGGCGGCACGGCGGCAGGCGCCAGGCAGCACGGCGGCCGACGACGGCGACATGCACCGCGGCAGGCGGCGGGCGGCGGACGGCGGACGGCGACGGCGACGGCGGCCGTGTGCGCCGCAGCAGGCCGCGGCGGCGGCGGGCGGCGGGCGCGGCGGTGCGCGCCGCGGCGGGCGCAGCGAAGGCCGCCGCGTGCCCAGCTGCCTGCGGCGGGGCGACCGGCCTGGGCTGGCCGTAGGCCTCGCCGCGCGCCGATCGCCGGGCGCCGCCGTCCGTCGGCGCCGTGCCGCGGTCACGCCGCGCGGAACCGCCGTCGACAGCGACGAGGTCGTCGTGGTCGACGACGTCGCGGTCGGCCACGGCGACGGCCGACGGCGATCGTCGGGGCCGTCATCCGTCGACGCCGCGACGCGGCCTCGCCGCGCTGAGCCGTCGTCGACGACGACGATGTCGTCGTGGTCGATAACGCCGTGGTCGACCACGACGGCGGCTCCGCGCTGTCGGCGCGGAGGCCACGACGGCGTCGGCGTCGTCGTGGGCGTCTCTCCGGGCACATCACGCCCTTGCAAACGATCAGGGCGGAGGCCTGTCGCAGTCCTCGTCCTCTGGCTGGGAAGCCAGCCCTGGGGAAAAGATGAGGACTTCTGGGGGCCCCGCCCGACACAAGAAACGAACAAGCACACATCAAATGTCTGGACCTCCGTGGCCATCACGTAATTACCAAGCCCAGGCTCGTCGTCGTCAGATGCCAAGAAGCTAGAGAACACATCCGGCTGCATTCACGTGCGGAACATGCGTACAGTGAGGGCACTAACATAAGGACAGATAAGTAAGCAACGAGTTCAGCTTCTTCGGAGTAAGCGCATGAAACCCGAAGAAATGGCCAACCCGCGCGTCCAAAATCTCAAGGAACACTGTGGGGGGCTCGCCGCCAAGAAGGTAGCGGAACGTATGCAGACCTAAGGAACGACCGAGCTCCTTTCGAAAAACAAGTATTCCTTACCCAGGCGCCTCACTGCAGACGTGCGCAGGCCAAGAGCTGGATGCGCATGCGGAGGGCCAGCCTGCCCAGCCATGGCCGAACTCTGGACATACATGCGCATCCAGCTCTCGCCCAGGCCGGCCACATCATGTTTATTATGATGGCTGGTACTACGCTCGGTCCCCGACCCCCAAGACAATCCGAAGCCGTCTCGGCACCGATTCTCGTAAGGAACATTCTCGAGGCTGGCCGTCATCGGCGAGCGCTGCCTCTTCCTCCTCCTCCTCCCAGCTAATTGCCCCCTCCCTCTTTCCCATCCGCCCCCCTCCACCTCCTCATCCCCCTACACCAGTAACCCCCTCCTCCGCTGCTTCCTCCTCTCCCTTTCCCCGTCCGCCTCCTCCTCACCCACCGCACCCACCTCAACCTCCTCTCCTCCTCCTCCTCCTCCTCCTCCTCGTCCTCCTCCTCCTCCGCCTCCTCCCACTTTCCTTTTCTCCCGCCGCCTTCAGGCTGGTTCGACCTCGAACCACCGTCTCCTCGTCCTCCTCCTGCCTCCCTGCCTCCCTTCCCCCTCCTTCTCTTACTCCGCCTTCCTCAACTAATTGTTCCTCTCCCTCCTCCTCCTGCTCCTCCCCCTCCTCCTCCTCCTCCTCCTCCTCCTCCTCCTCCTCCTCCTCCTCCTCCTCCTCCTCCTTTGACTCGTTTCTGACGGTCCCGAGGCCTGGTGAGGGCCCCCAGAGGCCGAGAACAGTGAAGCATCTCCCGTCGTGGCTTCTTCATAACTCGAGGGGGTCTGGGTCTCTTGAGCCTCGAGGGGAGGACGAACCCAAAACGCCAGGGGCCGCCGACGGCGTGTCTTGATGCCGCTGCTGCTTGGGGGGCGGCGGGCCCGCGGGGCGGGCGCGGCGCTGCGGCGCTGCGGCGGGCGCGCGCGCGCGGCCCTCTCTCCTGGCCTCTCCTGTCCCTCCTGTCCCTCCGCTGCTTGCTCCTCTTCCCCCTGTCGCCGTCGTCATCTTCCTCCTCCTCCTCCTCCTCGTCGTCCCGGTCGTCGTCCTCCTCCTCCTCCTCCTCCTCCTCCTCCTCCTCCTCCTCCTCGTTATCGCCGTCCTCTTCAGCGCCGTTTCCCGGGGAAGCGTAAGACTCGGATCACTCGGGTTGGCCTGACGGGGACATCATGACACTGTCAAGAACCGGTCTGAATTTTGACGCGAGCTCCTGCTGCAGACACCCCACGGACACTGGAACATCAAAATCCAAGACGCGCTCGTCAAAAAGCGCGGGCAAGCCCGAGTTCCGGCGCCCTGGAGTGTTACGTTTACCTGGCTTGCACTGCTCTCCCCTTCCTCTTGCCTCACTCCCCCGCCTGGTGAGGGGCAACGATAGGGGGGGGACCAGCTCAGAGGGGAAGCGTCGAGCTGGAATCCGCGATGCATCGCCAGTTGGTCGGCCACAGGCCCCCGATCGCAAATCCGCACGCTACCAAGCCCCTATCAGCGATCATTGGGCGCTTGGGGGTTGATGCATCCCCCCCTGAGCCTATCCCACCGTATCGTTACCCAAGACTCTCCCCTTCCTCTTACCTTTCCAGGGGGATACAAAAGCATCGATACCTCTCCTGGGGTGCCACCACCAGAACTTCCGAAGCGAGTCCGGCGATGGCAACGAGGAACCCCCAGGAGGCCCAAGCAGGCGAAGACGAGGCAAGGGCAGCGATGTCGACACCCGATTTCCTACGGGGACAGACAATGGCATACATAAAGGGAAACTGGGACACACAAATAAAAACACACAAATAAAAGGATTCCCCATATTTTCCCATATTTTCTGGGTTTTTGTCTTCCCGCCAAATTCCCATATTTTCCCATATTTTCCTGGGGATCGACGATTAATTGTGTCTGTGTGTTTTTTCCCCTCCTGAATAAACATGAAAACTCTGCTCCCCCGCGGGCGGAGCGCGCCGGGGCCGGCGCCAGGGGACCCCAGCGCGGATCCGAGGAATCCGCGCGGACCTCTGTCTTTCAATGCTACCTTCATCAAGGGGCCCCAGGACACACAAATAAATACACACAAATAAAATAATCCCCCATATTTCCCCATATTTTCTGGGTTTCTGTCTTCCCCCCCACTTCCCATATTTTCCCATATTTTCTGGGAATCGCCGATTAATTGTGTCTGTGTGTTTCTTCCCCTCCTGAGTATTGTCTCCCCGCGTCTTCTTCTCTGACCCTAGGGAGCCCACAAAGGACGTATACGCGCCCAGCTATGTACATGAACACGGCCCCTCGATTCCGCGGGGCCGGCCGCGTTCCGTTCTACGAGCACTTGCGCAGCGCGTGCCCTCGAAACCAGCGTGGATTCATGCACGTGTACGTCCTCCTGTCGCTCCTGAGACCCCCCTCCTCTCGCCCTTCCGCCTCCTGCCCTCGGCCGGCGGCCTGAGCGGCGGGCCGCGGCGCGTGCTGCGTGGCCGGCGCCGGCTGCTTCCAGGCCGGCTGCTGCTGCTGCCACGCCGGCCTCACGGCCTGCGGCGGCTGCCACGCCGGCCTCGCGTGCTGCGCCGCCGCGTGCGCGGGCCACGCCTGCTGCGCGGGCCACGCCTGCTGCGCCGAGCGACCTCCGCCTCCCCCTCATCCTTAGGCTCCTCCTCCTCCTCCGCCTTTTTCTCCTCCTCCTCCGCCTCCTCCTCCTCCTCCGCCTCCTCCTCGTCCTCCGCCTCCGCCTCCTCCTCCTCCTCCTCCTCCTTCTCCTCGTCCTCCTCCTCCTCCTCCTCAGCCTCCTCCTCCTCCTCCTCCTCCCGTAGGCCCCCTCGTCGAGGAGCGCCCTGGGGCGAGTCACCGATTCATCCCAGAGAGATCTTCGCGTCATGGAAAACTCTGGCCATTTTCGGCCCCTGGCGGCCGTCACCCGGACACTGAGACAATAAAAAAAAGAATCGGAAAGAAACGCCGTGCCTAGGGAAAGGTCGGGAATTCTGGGGGCCCCGTGCTGAAGCAGCAAGGTGTCGGATGTCTGGGTGCGCCGAGCGATCGAGCATCGCCCAGAAGGGGGCTCGGGGTGGACCGAGGGGGATCAAGCTTCGAGGATTGATGTTTTGAGTCGGCGTTTTCCGCCCCGTTTGACCTTCCCTAAGGGCGCCTCGTCGCCACGTCTCTGGAATCCCCTCATCTTCTGGTCAGAGCGCGCCCCTGGACAGGTCCCTGGGGGCCGGAATTTCTAGATGAGGAAAACTTGTAAGCCCTGGGTTGGTCTGTATCTTTGCCGCACGCAAGGGAGCCCTGGTAATCCGGCCGAGGCAAATTCGAAGACAGGCGCCTCATTCATTTTGGCGACGCGCTTGCTTCGGCAAGCAGCTTGCCGCGAGGTCAGGAGCTGCTTGGGCAGCGCGCCCCCCATCGCAGTGCGTTGACCTCCTCGACTGTGCTGCTCCTGGGGGGCCCTCGGCTGGAAACCAAACGTAAGATGCGCGACCACCCCAGACCCCCAGGTGCTCACAAGAGGAGGCCCTCATCCCCTCGCGCCGTGCAGAAGCACTGCGCGCATTTCCCCGTCAGCTCCGGCACATTCGGGGGGCACCCCGTCGTGCCCCGAGGCCGGGCAGGAACGCCTCGGTGTCTGGGAGGCCAGGAGGGCTTCTGAGAGGGCCCCTCTCTGGGGCGCGCACCATCGAGTAGGGAGAGGGGTGAAGGCTTCTTGGAAGGAGGCTGCTTCTTTGAGGGCGCCGGCCTTCTACGAAGCAGGGGTGCTGCCGAGAAGCCTTCTCCCCCCCCATTCCCCCCCCTCCTGTTGGGAACCCCCAAACCGGGTGGTGAGATACCAGGTGGCGACCTGGAATCCCCCAAAAGGTCACCGCTGGGTTTGGGGACACGGGGTCACCACCGGTTTTTGTGACTCCTGGACCCACCAGTGTTCGGGACATCCTCGGAAAACCGCACGAGTCCCCAAACCGGGTGGTGACACCAAATCGCCCGAGACTCACCGCCAGGTGTTGTCACCACCACGTTTGGGGATTACCAATCCTGCCCTCTGCGAGTGGCCGGAATAACGCCCCGTGCACTCCGAGAGGGCCGCCCCCCCTCGCGCCACCCTCCTCCTTGCGCGCGTCGCCAGAACATGGGGTTGGCCGGAGGCTCCGGGAACCTGCCGGGATCGGAGCCCCGGGAAGGACTTTAAGAGCCTGTTTTTTGTGGATTCGGGCAAGTTTACTTGCATGGCGTTCGCCCCCCCACCCCCCCCCCTCGCCCCTCTTCAAGCGAGTACTAGCGTGCAAGTGCCTTTCGACTTGCGTGATTTCCGCGCCCCCCCGAACGTGCAAGTCGTTTGCGGCTTGCTTCAGGCTCAGCCCCCCCCCCGTCCATGCAAGTAAACTTGCCAGAGTCTAAAAAAACAGGCTCTTTGAGACATCGACCCCCGACCTCCGACGTCGCGGTTTCGCTCGCAACCTGGACCTCCAGGACCTCCCAGAAGACGACCGCTGGCGCCGACGACCTGGGGCCAAAGAGCCCCCCCCCGACCAGGATCCCCCCAAAAGACCTCCAAAACGACGTCGGCGTCGACGACGCCGTCGCTTCGGGGCCGCGGCGGCGGGATCGACAAAATCGGAGTTCGGGGGGTGTGAAACCGCAGTGAAACGGAGACCCCCCACCGGGAAATCGGTTTCGGTTTCGTGTTCGTGCCGTGCGTGCGGGCGAGGCGAAGCTGCGTGGACGGGCGAGGGCAACGAACCCTCCTCTGGCTAGCGCGCCGCTTGCCCAAAAGACCGCCCCTCCACCTGGCTGGCCGGCGGTGGCCCGGGGTGTCCCGCCGTGGTGTCCCGATGGTGTCCCGATGGTGTCCCGTGGTGTCCCGTGGTGTCCCGCGGTGTCCTGCGGTGTCCCGTCGCTTGGTGGTGTCTTGGTGGTGTCCCGCTGGTGTCCCGATGATGTCCCGATAGTGTCCAGGTGGTGTCCAGATGGTGTCCCGTAGTGAGAGAAATAGTGAGATCGATAGTGATATCAGAAATGAGACCGATAGTGCGATCGACAATGCGATTGATCGTGAGATCGGCAGTGAGTTCGATAGTGGGAGATAGAGAGATATAGTGAGATCGATCGGGAGATCGATAGTGATATCGATCGAGAGACCGAGAGTGAGAGGGATATTGAAATCGATTGCGGGATCGATCGTGAGACCGATCGAATCAGATCGATAGTGAGATCGATCAAGATGTTCCGTCGGTGTCCCGCCGGGGTCCTGTAGCGAGATCGATAGTGAGATCGATGGTGAACTCGATAGTGAGATCGATGGTAAAAGGGATCGGGAGGGATCGATAGCGAGATCGATGGTGATATGCATTGAATGAGACGTCGGCTCCTTCCCTCCCACCCGGACCTCCTTATCACCCGAAGGAGAGTGATCGTTTAGGTGAGATTAGGTCGGGCATGCCCCCCTAATGTTCAAAATGATCAGACATCTAAATAAGTACGAGAAGCATCGTCCCCTGATCATTTTTTGGCTATTTTCCCACATTCCCCTGTAGAGGGACACGCCCGACTTCAAGGCAGGAGTCTGCAAACATGTTTTCCACCACCATCCCCTTGCGCGCGGAGCACGCCAGGGGCGGCGCCGGAGGCGCCACCAGGTGGGCCCCGCTGCCGGCCCGAGAACAGCCGCGCGGACCTCCGAGAAGGCCGTGCTCATGCAGCCTCTTCTGCCTCTTCCCGGCACCTCGGCGCCACGACTCTTGAGATCAGGACCCCTTTTTCACTCGTGCGCTGCTGACTATCAGGTCCCTTCTTCGGAGAGGGAGAGAGAGAGAGAGAGAGAAAACAAGAAGAAAAACAACAGATCAAGAGAAAGAAGGAGAGAGAGAGAGAGAGAGAGACAAACAAAGACAGCATAACATCAGGAAAGCACCAGATCGAGCAAAACCACAAACAGCCGAACAGCAACAGAAGCAGCAACGCAACATCCAGAGAGAGAGGGAGAAAGACAAGAAGAAACAAAAGCAGCACAACACATCGAGAGAGCAGCAACCAGCCAAGAAAAGCAGCAACAAACAAAACAACACAAAAAAACGGGGGCGCCTGCTGCGCGCCCCACTGGGGCCGCGGGGCGCCCCACTGCGGCCACGCGGGCGCGGCCCCGCCGCCCGGCCAGGCGCCGCCCTGCCGCGCGCCGCCCTGCCACGCGCCGCCCTGCCACGCCTGCCTGCCCTGCTCGTCGTACTTGTCGTTCACGGGCCTCGGCGGGGGGGCGTCCTCGGGGGCGGGCAGGGGCAAGCCAGTGCAGTCGGGGCGTTGGCCTGAGGAACGATGAATAAGGAACGAAGCCCCTTTTTTTATCCCGAGGGATAACGCATGAGGAGCGATAAATAACAGATGGCGCACGAGGAAGTGTGAATAACGCATGTAACATCTAAGGGAACGACCGAGCCCCTTTTGAAAAGTGAGTGGTCCTTACTCAAGCCGCTCACTGTACCATGCCGAAGGGGCCCTGGGACACACAGACGAAGACGGTCGGGCTCGATTGGAGAGGGCACGCGAGAGGACACAAAGACCCTTCCGAGGGCCCAGGCGTGATCGCGTCGTGAAAAACCAGGGCGGCAGGCTTCTGGCAGTCTTCGGCCCCGGGGGGCCCTCGCCGGGCCCCGGGACCGTCAACAGAACGACTCGGGACGAAGAACCGGTCCTGGGAGGGGGGTCGGGACTTCCAGGGACGCCGTCCTGAAAGAAGCAGGACGTCGCATGTCTGGGAGGGCAAGCCAGTACCATGCTGAAGGGGCCCTGGGACACACAGATACATGCACACACGAATCACAGCATGCCCCATATATTTTCCCACGTCTTCGGGTTCTTGTCTTCCCCCCCCACACTTCCCAGATGTTCCCATATTTTTGGGGGAAGCGACGATGAACTGCGTCTGTGTGTGTTTTTCCCTCGTGATGTGTGTCCGCCTTGACCCGGGCATACAGCACAGCCGAACTGTAGCAGACCGTTTCCCGCGCGGCAGGGGCAGAAAGCGCCCGCCACAGAGCTTGCACTGCGAGCTTTCTCGGCGCGCGCCCCACCCGGAGGGCAACGCACACACAGAAGCAACATGTGGGGGCGGCGCCGGTCCTCGGGTGCCGGGGGGTCGCCCGTCTTCTGCTTCCAGGAGCCGTTGTCCTGGGATCGGCCGGGGGGTGGGGGGGGGAGGGGGGCGATGGGGGGGGGGGAGGAGGGGTAGGGGAGGGGGAGGGAGGAGGGAGGAGGGGGGGAGGATGAGGAGGAGGAGGAGGGGGAGGGAGGAGGAGGAGAGGAGGAGGAGGAGGAGGAAGGAGGAGAGGAGAGGAGAGGAGAGGAGGAGGAGGAGAGGGGGGAGGAGAGGAGGAGGAGGAGGAGGAAGAGGAGGAAGGGAGAGGAGGGAGGAGGAGGAGGAGGAGGGGGAGGAAGGAGGAGAAGAGAAGGAGAAGGAGGAGGAGGAGGAGGAAGAGGGGGAGGACGGGGGGGAGCGGGGAAGCGGGAGCGGGAGGAGAAGAGCACGGAGAGGAGGGAGGAGGAGCAGGGCAAGGGACGAATCTGGGAGGGTGCGGCTCCGGGTTGGCCTCGCGCGCGCGCCCACGAGGGGGCACCAGGCACGGGGCCGAGGCGAAGAAACAGCAGGCAGCTACGGGGCGGCGACGGCGACGGCGGCGGCGGAGACGGCGACGGCCGGGGAGCAGGAAAGGGGCACAGCACAGGGCTGGAGGCATCACGTCGGCACCTCACGTCGGTTCGACAGGGGTCCAATCGACATGGGGGAGAAACAATTGCACGAGCACAGTTTCCTCACACTGGAGCAGGAAGGGGGCGCGCAGCCGGTGCATGTGGAATTTGGCCCCAGACGTCGCCAAAGCGACACGAGCGTGGCAGTGACAGGATTCCGCGCGCACGTAGATACACTAATTACCAGGCCTTGCTGGCGACGCTCGCGTAAAGGGGGTGGTATCAAACAAGGGAAAGAGAGAACAATACTAATAAGCAAAAGAGGGAGAGAGAGAGAGAGAACAACAACAAAAGAGACAGAGACAAAGAGAGCGAGAAAGAAAGACAGAGAGGGAGACCGAGATCCGCGCAGATTCCTCGGATCGGCGCTGGAGCCCCCTGGCGGCGCTCCAGCGCCGCCCCTGGCGCGCTCCGAGCGCCAGGGAGGGCTGGCGGCGCGCAGAGTGGGGCAGGGAAAGGGGGAACGCTTCTTGGAAGGAGGCCGCTTCTTAGAAGGCGCTGGCCCTACATCCACAGACAGGGCCCGCGCCTTCTAAAAAGCGGGGTGCCTCCAAGAAGCCTTCCCCCCTCCCCCCCCTTGCCCCCCTCTGCGCGTGGCTGGGAGGGGGGTG